AATATCAGTCCTCCTGTGAGTGCTGGACAATTTCTTTATAGATGAAGTGGAGACTTGATACGGCAGAAATGTGGTTCTAAAGAAGGATGCTGAGGATACCATGGACCGAACATGTGAGCAACGACGAAGTTTTAGACAAAATGGAAACAAAAATGAAACATACTTAATATCAGGATGGGACAGTTGAAATTTCTAGTGCACATAATGAGGAAAGAGGACTTGGAAAATCTGATACTCACATAACAGAGAATATTGAAAGTGCGACACAGAAATCCGAAGCCGCATTGGTATAGGCAGAGTGCTTTCCAAAAGCTAAGCAGAGTAATACGAAACAGAAAAAAATCTACGTTAATAACAAGGAAAAGGGTACTAAAACATTATGTGATATGTGTCCGCCTGTATGGCTGTGAGTACTGGACAATGTCCTCAAAAATGAAGAACCTTAATGAAGCAAGAGAAATGTGGTTCTACAGCAAGTGTAAACCATAGACAAAACTTGTGAGCAACGACGAAGTTTTAGAGAACAGAAAAAGGAAAGTTATTCATAACATCAGGAAGAGGACAGTTGAAATTTCTAGAGTATATAATAAAGAAAGAGGAATTGAAAATTTTATAAAAAAAATGTCAAAAGAATAGATTGTTAAATTATAAACAAAACAAATTTCTTTTTAAAAATTGGATTTTTAGAATTTGGAAATTACGTATATTTTTGAGGCACAAACCGTCGAACTATGTAATATTTAAGAGGCATACATGCAGTTTTCAAGGAAAGGCATGGATAATTGCCATATTAAACCTCTCCCAATTTTACGAGTTTTAAAATTGGTAGAAAATAGTACTGAACTGTTACGTAATATCAGTTCTCCTCTGAGTGCTGGACAATTTCCTCATAGATGAAGTTGAGACTTGATGCAGCAGAAATGGGGTTCTATAGAAAGATGCTGAGGATACCATGGACCGAACATGTGAGCAACGACGAAGTTTTAGACAAAATGGAAACAAAAAGGAAACATACCTAACATCAGAATGGGACAGTTGAAAATTTCTAGTGCACATAATGAGGAAAGAGGACTGATACTCACAAGGCAGATTGAAGGCAAGAGAGACAGAGGAAAACAAAGCATTACATACTTGGCTTGAGTAAATGTTTAAGAGAAATAACAAAAAGACAAAATACAAGAAAAGTTAGAAAGGACAGGAAATCGTGGAGAGCCATGATCGCCTACGTCCAGAACTACCTCGGTACATTGAAGAAGAAAACGAACGAACCTGAGTAAATGGATAGCGGAACCGGGTTTGGGAGAAATGACAAAAAGACAGAATTTATTAAGAGCTACAAAGGCAGGAAATTGTGGAGAGCCATGATCGCCTATGTCCAGAAGTGCCTCGGTACATTGAAGAAGAAAACGAATGAACCTCAGTAAATGGATGGAGGAACATGGCTTAGAAGAAATAACAGAAAGACAAAATTTATTAAGAGGATTTATTACAAAGGACAGGAAATTGTGGAGAGCCATGATCGCCTACATCCTGAAGGTACACGGCACATAAATAATACATTAATGGAGATAAAAAAAATAAAAAAATATGCATCGGATAATAGACAATTTTTTTTTTTTTTACTCCTTGTATTTTATTTCAGTTCTTTTTATTTCGAGAATTGTTATCCATTCTTGTTTACCAGGAGGCAGATTCCCAGTTCAAATGGATTGGATTATAGAAGAATTTTTCAAGAATGAAACATCTTTTAATTAACACAATTCTAACAAAGTGGCTTCGTTCCAAACTTCACTTGCTCGTTGTAATTTGTTTCCTTTTCAATTTCATGTTGGTACCTCAGAGGACATTATTAATTTGCAAGTTCGTCCAGGACTGACATAGGCTTTTTAAGCTAAAGATACGCTGAAAAGCTCTTGGCACAATCCAATTCCCTAAACCTGACCAAATATCCGAATTTTTTTTTTTTAATTCCTATTTCTTTGGTGGAGATATTCCTTCAAATCGGGTACCTAGTGTATGCAGTTAGAGAACACACACAGACAAATGCACACGCATACATAGCTCGGGTGTAACAGTTAAATTGTTCCAGTGGTATGACGCTTGCGTTGTATCGAAATGATATGGGTTCGATTCTCGATAGTGGATGCGCACTGCAAGAGATCTTCAGGCAATTGAATTCACTGTAGCATTTATTTATGCACACTGGTTTAAAATTTTAATAAACCAATTTAAGTTATGTGTGTGATTAGAAGAAAAAACGAAAGCATATATATATATATATATATATATATATATTGAATGAGATCCCTGTGGTTGATGCTGCTTAGCGAGTTTCTTTATATCTGGCTAAATCGATGTTAATGATGATCGAAGATCACTTCTTTTCACAATTCTAATTTTACTCAAATTACGTGTCATAAATATATAATTTAATTTTGGAAGATTTTAAAAATCGATAAATTTATTTTGTTTAGAAAATTCTTAAAATTAGGAAAATGGCCCCTTTTAAAGCATTTTTTATATACACCAGAATATTTTACTTATAGAAAATAATAAATTTAATCATTTTGCTTTCAATTAAAGCTAAAAGGAAATCTTCAAGAATGATTTCTTCATTTGTAAAAATTAATTTTAAATCTTAGGTATCAAAAAGTCAATGGAGGTATATATTATATATATTATAAATTAATTGTATAAATTGTATACAAATTAATTGTATAAATTGTATACAAATTAATTGTATATAATCATAAATTTATTGTAAAAATAAAAATATCTATAAGAACACCGGATTATATATCTTACTGTTCTTTCTTTTTATTTATATATACATATATATATATATATATATATTTTCAATATAGTGTAAATTACAGTAGAAATTTAATTTTTAATAAGAAAAAAGCATTCTGAGTTGGCTTTCTTCAATGACTATCAAAATATCATTGGGGACTCTGAATTTGTTATATTTTGCATGTGGACCCCCAGAAATATTACATGGACTCCTAGGGCCCATGTGGATCCCGGTTGAAATTCCTGGATTAAACATCCTTTTCTTTGTTTCTAACAACATTTTCCTGTTTCGTAAAACTTTACTTCACTTTGAAATGCGTCATTTGATATTCCAATACACACCCTGATTTCGATGTCGTAATTTCCATCCTCTTTTCAAATACATCCGAGAAAAAAAAACATCCAGGGATGATTAGCTCACGACTTGAAAGAAGCTAACACATAGAAGAAGACAGCCATGTTGTAATCGGCATTTTTTTTTCTTCGCTTAAATAGTGTTCGTGAGGTAGAGTTCCTGATTCGTGCAGACCCTAAAGGCGGAGCTGTCTATTGTCATTTTAGTTTTTCTACGTTGTGTTGCCTCGAGAGCACATTTCACGTGTCGACATCATACCCGGCTTACACTCTGCTAGAAAAATCGACTTTTATTTGGCATTATTTGACGAATACACTTCTAGAAAGAGGCATATGTCGGAGTTGAATTCATGCTTCTCTAACGTATACACTTGGAGGGCTGACAGGTGAGCAACCGGCTTCTTCTTAACGGAAAAGCATATAGTCGAATAATCAGTGCATATATCGGCAAAATATATCAAGACGTACTAAAAATGTTCGTTCAGACACATATCCAAATTTAGAAGCATATATATATATATATATATATATATATATATATATATATAAAAAAAAAGAAAGGAAGAACAGTAAGATTGTATATATAAATAAAAAAGAACAGTAATTTAAATTAAGAAGCAGACAACTTTAAGGGTTCATGTAGATTTATATATTTTAAGACATTTTTATGTTTATACATTCTTTTTGTTGATACAAATATTTAAGTAAATGATTTGTTTATAATAAACAGTATTAACAACATTTACCGCCTGAATGTCCGAGAAATTGTCATAGAAAATATGCGCCCTCCGGCAGGAGGCGAAACTGCTTCCTATACGGAATCGTCATATAGCCTGACAGTCTTTACCGATTTCGCCACAGAGCATTTACTTAAATATTTGTATCTATAAAAAGAATATATAATTATAAAAATGTCTTAAAATAATTGTCGGACTTTGTCCATTTCAGAATGCGTGACGTCATTTGTTTACATTTGGATACGCATTGAGCAGATATTAATGTACGTGAGAGAATCAGGGAAGATTGTAGTTTAAAAACAGTAAAATCGACCTTAGTAACCGAACGTTTCTCTGTGACGAAATATTTTTTCTTAATAATAATTTAATATAAATATATAATAATTTAAAATGTGTTATTAGATTTTAAATTATTATTATTATTATGTTGATATTCAAATTATATAATTGCATTAATATTAAGTTCTAAATTTTCCTTTATCTAAAATCTATAAAACTCTTCATTTTCTTAACTTTAACGATTGCATTTTCTCATGTAATTTTTTCCTATTTCAACAAGAGTTAATATTTGAAATATAGGTCATTGTTAAACTTCATCTATATTCAAATTCTGTCTAGACTTGCATATGTTATGGCTTCCTGTTCTTCCCACTCTCACTACCTTAGAGTTTCATTTTTCTCTCTATCTTTCTATTAAATACCATTTCCCTTATTTGTTGTTTGTTGTTCTTCTTTCCTTTCTTTTTCTTATTTCTTTCCTTTTTTTTTAAATGTTTATTTTTCAATTTAAAAAAATGTTAAAAGTCATTTTTTTTACAAACGTTTTTTTGCATAGACAAGCCCCAGAGAGAATATACCAGAGGCGAAATGGCAATCAAAATGGTGTACAATTGAGTTTCATTTTTATGTAATTCATATATATATATATATATACATACATATATATATATATATATATATATATATATATATATATATAAATATAAGCGGAGAGCGCGTATTTATATTTGATAACAATTTCGGAATATTCGGACGGGTAGATGAAAATAAATAAATATGCAATTCAATAAATAAACCAAATAAACGGCGGAGCGTCTATTGATATAAATATATCCGCTAAAAATAACATTTAAAGTAAAAAAAAAATGAATAGATGTATAAAAAAAAATGATATAGGGAATTAAAAGAGAAAAGAACTGAAATAATAATGATTGGTATAAGAAAGAAAGAAAGAAAGAAAGAAAGAAAGAAAGAAAGAAAGAAAGAAAGAGAATTGGAATAAGAAAAAGAAAAAAAAGAGGAATGGACGAAAGTGAGAAAGAAAAAAGTGATTATACCAAAAGATAGAATGACCAAAACAGAATATTGAAACATTGAGAGAAACAAAGAAACGTGGGAATTGTAGACGCCGAAAAGAAAGAATGAGAAAAGAAAGAAACACATATAGAAAGGGAAGAAAAAAAAAGAACATGACAGAAAGAATATGGACGAGGAAAAGAAAAAGGTGACTTGGGAAAGGAAAAAAGGAAAAAGTTGCAAAGAGCCAAAAAGAGAGAAAGGGAGAAAATAGAAAAGGCAAAAAGAAAAAAAAAAGAGAAATGGTGGAAAGAAACAAGGAAAATAATTAGATGTCAAAAAAAGAAAGAAAGAAAAAAGAAAGAAAAAAAGAAAGAAAGAAAAACTATGGACGAGGAAAAGAAATAAGTGACATGGGAAAAGAAAAGAGAAAAAAATGTAAACGACGCAAAAAAGAGAAAGGGGGAGAAATAGGAAACTCCAATAAAAAGAAAAAAAAGCAAAGAGCAATGTCCGAAAGAAAGAAAGAATAAATTTAAATGCCAAAGAAGAAAAGAACGAATAAAAAAACAGAAGACGAAACAACGAAGGATGAAAAAAGCAGGAGATACATTGAATAAGAATAATCATACAAACAAAAAGTATAAGTGTTGTGGAGTGATTTCACAGTGGAGGCTTGTATTTGTACTAAGTCGGTCTTAAAATAGGTTCGACGTACAAAACGTTAGGAACTTGATATAATAGGTAATGACGCTGAGAAATCTAGTGGTGGTCGCTGATACTTAAGTATTCGACTAACTGTCGTCCGACATCGACGCTATTTAGTAACTGCCTCACGCAGTCACATGTGGCACAAGGCCGAATTTACTGTGGGGTTCCCGAGCCCGTAGGCTCGGCCAAAAAAATCCCCGTAGACCCCGCATAAACGGGATCAGGTCTGTCTACCTCCCCGGACGAAACTCTGCCCTTTGGTATAGCCTCATGCGGGTTCCTCTCTGTCCAAAGGCAGAGAGTTCGACTGTCGTCCGACATCGACTGACTCGTTACTCTTACTACTCCTACTTATTTTAGGTGGGAGAGTCTGTTAACTATAGAATAGGTGTGTTCCACTATAACAATAAGGAAGAAAAAGTGTGTGTGTGTGTGTGTGTGTGTGTGTGTGTGTGTGTGTGACAAAATAAAGAAAAACTAAAAGAAAGAAAAAAGATAAAAAGGAAAGAAGGAATAAAGAATTTTCACGAGAAAATAAAAAAAAAACTTAAAACCAAAGAAATATGCGACATATTCAAATGTGAATTCCAAAAGATAGAATGATCAAAACAGAACATTGAAATGAGAAAAAAAAAATTCGAAAACAAAAGAAAATTGTGGACGTAAAAAATAGAACTAAAAAAAATGTGAAAAAAAGAAAAGAAAACAGAAATTTAGAAGGAAAAAAAAAAAAAACATGGGGACGGCCAAAAGAAGACAAGAAAAAAAGAAAGAAAGAAAAAAGAAAGAAAAGAAAGAAAAAAGAAAGAAAGAAATTTAAGAGAGAAAATAAAAGAAAGAAAAGGGACGAAAAAAGAAGAAAGAGAAATAAAGAAAGAAAGAAAGAAAAGAAAGAAAGAAAGAAAGAAAAAAAAAGAAAAGAAATTTAGAGGTGAAAGCCAAAAGAAGACAAAGAAAAAGAAAGAAAGAAAGAAAGAAAGAAAGAAAGAAAGAAAGAAAGAAATTTAGAGAGGAAAGAAAGAAAGATGGGGACGGCCAAAAGAAGACAGAGAAATAGGAGAAAGAAAGAAAGAAAGAAAGAAAGAAAGAAAGAAAGATGGTGACGGCCAAAAGAAGACAAAGAAAGAAAGAAAAAAGAAAGAAAGAAAGAAAGAAAGAAAGAAAGAAAGATGGGGACGGCCAAAAGAAGACAGAGAAATAGGAGAAAGAAAGAAAGAAAGAAAGAAAGAAAGAAAGATGGTGACGGCCAAAAGAAGACAGAGAAATAAGAAAGAAAGAAAGAAAAAGAAAGAAAGAAAGAAAAAGTGAGAAAGAAAAAGAAAGATGGGGACGGCCAAAAGAAGACAAAGAAAGAAAAGAAAGAAAGAAAGAAAGAAAGAAAAAAAAAAGAAAGATGGGGACGGCCAAAAGAAGACAGAGAAATAGGAGAAAGAAAGAAAGAAAGAAAGAAAGAAAGAAAGAAAGAAAGAAAGATGGTGACGGCCAAAAGAAGACAGAGAAAGAAAGAAAGAAAGAAAGAAAGAAAGAAAGAAAGAAAGAAAGATGGTGACGGCCAAAAGAAGACAGAGAAATAGGAGAAAGAAAGAAAGAAAGAAAGAAAGAAAGAAGAAAAGAAAGGTGACGGGCCAAAAAAAGACAGAGAAATAGGAGAAAGAAAGAAAGAAAGAAAGAAAGAAAGAAAGAAAGAAAGAAAAAAAAAGATGGTGAAAGGCCAAAAAGAAAGAAAAAAGAAAGAAAGAAAGAAAAGAAGAGAAAAGAAAGAAAAAGAAAGAAAGAAAGAAAAGATGGGGACGACCAAAAGAAGACAAAGAAAGAAAAAAAGAAAGAAAAGAAAGAAAGAAAGAAAGAAAAGAAAGAAATTTAGAGAAAACAAAAGAAAGAAATTTAGAAGGAAAGAAAGAAAGAAAGATGGGGACGGCCAAAAAGAAGTGACGGCCAAAAAGAAGACAAAAAAAGAAAGAAAGAAAGAAAGAAAGAAAGAAAGAAAGAAAGAAAGAAAGAAAGATGGTGACGGCCAAAAAGAAGACAAAAAAAGAAAGAAAGAAAGAAAGAAAGAAAGAAAGAAAGAAAGATGGGGACGACCAAAAGAAGACAAAGAAAGAAAGAAAGAAAGAAAGAAAGAAAGAAAGAAGGAAGGAAAAAAAGAAAAAAAAGAAATTTAGAAAGGAAAAGAAAGAAAGAAAAAATGGGGACGGCCAAAAAGAAGACAAAGAAAGAAAGAAAGAAAGAAAGAAAGAAAGGAAAGAAAGGAAAGAAAGAAAGGAAAGAAAGAAAGATGGTGACGGCCAAAAGAAGAAAGAGAAATAGACAAAAGAAAGGGAGAAAGAAATAAAGAAAGAAAGACATGAAAACGCCGGGTTACAAAATGCCAAGAATTGGAACCAACTCTTAAAAGAATGTCTCGGTTATTTCAAAGCGGAAATTGCAGGTAATTCCATCCAGAATCCCAAGCGGTTTCAATGCACGCAGCTTACATGAACGACATGTATGTCACTAATTTTAAAGACAACACGCCATTGGCATAAATCGTCTCCCAGTCAGAATTTCCTCAGGACCGATGACCCTTAATTACAACAGAGGTCATGTATTGAACTAAATTTGGTCTTTGGCATTTATTTCCTCCGTGCAGCCGACCATTCATTCTTTTAAAAGAGAATCGGGACTTTGCTTGGTGCTATTACCTCGGGCACTGAGACATCCGGGTCATGCAAGCAGAACAGCGGCATAGGGGTCATGGCTAGTTGCTACTTAAGGGCCAGAATCAGTTATAACATATTTCTTTTAGAAGATAAGGAAATTGAAACACATGATAAGTTGCGCACGGTGTATTTTTGTCTAACACCGTAAGAGGGTTCATCTTTTTATCTTCTACGAGCCGCGTCCCTCTCTTTAATCCCTTGTGGTACTTAGCAATATTTTTACATTTGCCAAGCCTCTAGACCCTCCCAACAATTTTCCCCATCCACTCACACAAGCTCGTCAGGTAATAGGATCGCTGTCTTTCCCTATATCTCATGCCCACAACATGCCCTATAAGGGTTAAGTTTTCTAAGCCCTTATTCTTCGTTATAAGCAAGAAATTTGAGCTGACGTATTCGGATTCGGTGTTTGTGTTCTTTTTGTTATTTTCTTTACGACTTCTTTGTTACTTACACTCTCCGTCCATAGTTTTAATGGTATTCCTCTGTTGGACAACATTTCTGTGGCCTCCTGTTTTCTTTATATCTGTGGAGAGTTTGACCAGCATTCACTGCCGTATAAGAGGAAACAGCAACCCAGCAGTCTTTGTTTCTATCTACATTTTCCTGCTTCTTAAAAGATTATTTCGCTAATGCAATGTGTTGAATTTCTGTGCTGTGCTGTTAAAACATTTCCCAAGTTATTTGAAACTCTTTACTTGTTTTATGTTGGTGTTATATACCTTCCCTATGAACATTAATTTGTATGTTCCAATCCTCATAAATAAGTTGGACACTATTGTAAGTGGGGGTAATATGCTGTCTAAGTAGTCCACTACTAGCAGTGGTTTACCTACTTCATGCTGCTGGCGAGTATTGTATTTTGTTGATGTTATAAAGATTACCATTTCATTTCCAAAATCCGTTTTGGTTATTCCTCATTCAGTAACCCTCTCTAGGCTACAATAGATAGATAGATAGATAGATAGATAGATAGATAGATAGATAGATAGATAGATAGAAAACAAAAAAACAAATAGTTTTATATAACGTACTTATGAACATTAATGGGTATGTTCCAATCCACATAAATACTAACATAGGTTTACCTACTTGACGCCGCTGGCGAGTATTGTATTTTGCTGATGTTATAAAGATTACCATTTCATTTCCAACCTCCATTTTGATTATTCCTCATTCAGTAATCACCCCTAGGTTACAACAGAAACATTATGTGTACTATAAAAGGAAGAAATAAGATGACAGAAATAACAAAGAAAAGAAGTATGTTTGGGAAGAATACACATTTTGAATTGACAAAAAAGGTTTCCGAAGAAAAATGAGAAAAGTGAAAATGAAGTGTAAAATTAAGATATAACCTTTTAATCATTAGGAATGAATCAGGCTCAATATATTATGATATCGAATCGATTGACAGTTGAACTGGAAGAATTTAAAATCATAATATTATATACCGTACCTATGAACACTAATGGGTATATCCCAATCCTCGTAAATACGTTGGACACTATTGTAATTGGGATAATATGCTGTCTAAGTAGTCCACCACTAGCTGTGGTTTATCTACTTCACGTCGCTGGCGAGTATTTTATTTTGTTGATGTTATAAAGATTACCATTGTTACAGTTTTTTGTGTATATATATATGTGTGTAACTAGTGAGTTAGTCAAAATGACTTAATTCACTTTATAGTCTACTAATAGAAGATTAACCAATCAGAAGCCGCAGAACATTGTATCCGTCATGTATAAAGGCGGCCATTTTTGTTTTCCTACCCGAATGACCAGTGCCAACTTGTCAGGCGAAGATGACATAAGGAAGAACTACGCTCTGCTACTTTGCTGCGATATTCACTGCTAACTTGAACTACGCTTTCTTACTGTCTCCGAAATATTCACTGCTAACCTCTGGATTCTATACTCGAAGACGACCGTCATGAAATGTCTAACAACCATTTCATTTCCAACCTCCGTTCTGGTTATTCCTCATTCACTAACTCTTCCTAGGTTACAACTGTTGGCATCTGTAATTCGTAATTTACATCATGGGCTTTTACTCTTGTTGATGACCATACTTTCCATCTTCTTTCAGGTGATCGTGTCCGTTTTTCTCGCTATCATTTACCCCCTTTTCTAGCAGGCCTTTTAATTTGCGTTCTGTGTCAGCCTTCAACACAGTAAGATGCTACACAATCAAAATACTAACTTGAAAATTCGTGTCATGTTCTTAAATAACCTCGTCGGATAAAAGGTGCAGGGCGACTCATCACCGCCAACTCAATGCCGCCGACTCAATACCAAAGATTCAACACCAGTCAACTCATCTCCGTGATAACTCAACTCCAGGACCACCACCAGCTTACTCAGCACGAAGACAATTCAGCGATATCGACTTAAAAAAATAGAGGTAATTTATTAAGGAATGTTTTTTAATACTTTTTTTTTTAATGAAGAAGCAGGATAGAGTAATGGATAGCGGCTCGAACTGAGGAATCAGAGAGCCGAGTTCGAATCCATAGCATTCACTTACGTGCTAATACCCTATTTCGTAAACGTAGAATATAGTGTGACCCAAAACAACGGGAACTTTTTAACAATCCAATAAAACCAAGAGTGATGGAAGAAAAATATTTTATTCATAGTAATTGAAACCTTAAAATATGCCATTTAAGAAAGAACGATGTAATTTTAATTTTTAAAAGAAATTACGTCCTGTAGATGGCGTCCTCCTGTACGAATGTATTCTTGAAATCTGCTGTTGAGATTCCTCATTGACTGCTGCAACATCTCAGCTGGGATACTGTGAATTTCATCTTGAATTCTAAATGGCGAAATGTTTACTTGCTCAAGGTCACTGTCTCGCAGTGTTGACACTTGTTCATGTCTGGCAATACGCACTTAAAAAATTCCCGTCTTTTTGTGTGACCCTGTACATCTATTCGATGCTTTATACACATTATCAGGGATGTTTCTAGCCGAGGTTCATTAGGAGTTTCAGGTCTTTCAACATCATACCACCTCTCCACGGTTACCCAGCCGGTACTGGTCGGGTATTCACTTCTCTACCTTCTGTTAACTACAATTTTTTCCATCATCTGTGCTACACACGATGCAACTCTTCTTGGCAATTTATTGCCCAATCCCGGATGGCTTCTAGTTCATCAGCTATGTGCGCTCTTCCATTAAAAAAGAAGCAAACGCAGCCACAATTTCAGGAATATGGCGGCGTTTTTGGCTTGAAGAGGTAAATACCGATTTAATCCCCCTCACTGAGGCATATGCACACACACACGCACACATAGAGAAACGCGCTCAGGCATCACATCCTGTTTACACTCATTTTCATTCATGTTAAACATGAACCACCAAAAGAAATGAAAATGAAAAAAAATACTTCCTTTTCCTCCTTCCTACTTTTTTCTTTTTTCATCCTTGACACTCCACCTATATGACTTACATATACATATGAATGCCGCCACACACACACACACACACGCACACCATCACACACATGTAAAAAAAAATGAAAAAAAAAATACCGTAACATTAGTAGGATGGTAAATAGGTGCTAGATCTTAGTCAGGGATCACCCATAAGTAACAATGGTTCAGGGTACCCTAATTCTGTGTCCTAGTCGAGACTCCATTGTCGGGTGTAGTTTTAGGTCATACCCACCCACCCCCAAGAAAAAAGAAAAAGATATATGTATATATCAACCCAACTTCCTTTCATTTTCCTTACTGACTGCCAATCACTTGAACTTTTCAACCAAAGCCATCTAGAAGCCTATTCCTCTTCCACTGTTTATTGAGTGAATAGCCTTGTTTTTTTTACCAAACTTGTTACACCTAATTTTGGCAACATCTGACATAGAGACCGCCCACCAAAACCTCTGCGACCGAAATCAATCGTTTCGCACTGAGCTCGCCAACCGCGCCTTTTACATTCCTCTACAATCAGTAAATATTTCCAAAGCTTCCTTTCGTGAGCCTCGTCCATATTTTCTTCCTAGGGGACTGTTAATTCTAACAAGATGATTTGCTTAGTCTTTTAATAATAAATAATCATAATAATAATGAACTGAGGTTAGTTTGTATTATTGGCTGGTTAGCTTTAACGCCACCAAAACAACACTGTTCTCTATTAATCACCACAGAGATCATTCCCTGTCCCCCATTAGAATGTCTGGCGCTCAACTTCCTGAGATCGCATCTCTGCGGCTGTTCGGCCTCACGTTGTCTACTGACCTGAGATGGAACAAATACATTGAGTCAATTGCTTCGTCCGCCGCAAGGAAAATTGGCTCTCTGTGCCGCGCCAGGAAATATTTCTCCCCTGAATCGATCCTTCAAATCTACAAATCAACCATTCTCCCTTGCATGGAGTATTGCTGCCATATATGGTCTGGAGCCCCTACTCTCTGCCTCGCGGTTCTTGATAAGATCCAGGGACGGATATGCAATATAATTGGCCCTGATCTGGCATCTCGTTCGCAGTCGTTCTCTCACAGACATGCCGTCCCCTCTCTCTGTCTTTTTTACAAATACTTTCATTTTTTTTACTCCGATGAGCTGCTATCGCTGGTTCCAAGACTTCGCGAATTCAAGCGTCCTACGAGACTGGCATCCCGCTCTCACCCTTTCACTGTTGAAACTCTAGCCGCCTCTTCTACTCCAATAGCTTCATGTCTCGCACCTCTCGCCTGTGGAACTGCCTTCCCTACTCCTGTTTCCCTGATAGCTTTAATCTCTAACTATTCAAATGTAATGTCAATCGACATCTCCAGTTGCCTTTATCTATCCATTATCCTTCTCCTCATCCTTTCCTCTATCATTCCTATCTGCTCTCGCTCCAAATCCTCTATAACCCCTTACGCACTAGTGGCTTCCCGCCTTGCTAGGGGTGAAATGCTTAAAAAATTGGGAATTTAAGCTGCTTGCTTATATATATTCTCTATTGCCAGTCCGAGACAGAGATGAGGAGGGATGATTTCTTTGGTTTCTTTACTTGTTCTTACTGACAAAATTCATCGTCTTCTCGTTCGGTTCATATCTGTTTTGTTTTAGACTCCTTGATCCTATTGTTGCAAGGACTCCTAAACCTTTATCATGGCGCCACCGGTACCTCCCCTCGCTAAGCGGCTTGGTGCAACCGCTCAATATGTCTTGGAGGAATCCTCTTCTGGCACAATGGACAAAGTGGAGACTCACTCTTACCCCACGTGTGGACGTTTGGTGGACTGGGCAGTGTATCATACACTGCCTGCACAAGGAAGCTTGTATTACTGGGATTGGTATACCAGGCATCTGTCTTATTCCCTTTTTCTAGGTTCCCCCATCTCGTCGAGGCCCCCTGTTAACCTAAAGCCTCCACTAATTTCTTCCACACCCGCTCTCATTTCATATTTAAGACAATGTTTATGATAATATGTATGAACGCGTTGAGATAGATAGATAGATAGATAGATTAGAACAGTTTGAGATAAGTAGATATCTCAGACTATTATTATATCTATCAACCTATATCTATCTATCTATCTATCTATCTATCTATGTATATATATATAGATAGATATGTGTGTGTGTGTGTGTGTGTGTGTGTGTGTGTGTGTGTGTGTGTGTGTGAAGATTTCTCGGACATTCAGGCCGGTAAATGTTGTTTAATACAGTTTATTATAAACAGAGCATTTACTTAAATATTTCTATCTATCAAAAGAATGTATAAACATAAAAATGTCTTAAAATAATT